CTACTTTAGTTGGCTAAAGGCAACCAATGATCGCTCTGCAGGATGAATTAAGAGCTGGGTCGATCTAGGGTGCATGGATCAACCTACTCCATACTGGTGATGCATACTCCTCAGCAGAGAAGCAAAGCGCAAGGGCTGTCGTCCGGATTGCTCTGGCATCAGTCCCCCCAGTTGGTGTTGGCTAGCTTCTTGAGGATGCTATTGCGGGCTTCAACTTTTGCCTTTGTGTTGGCAATGTGGTTCTTGTAGGTAAGGGAGCGATCCAGTGTGATGCCTAGTTGGACCGTGTGTGAGCTTCAGCCTTTTCCCATACCAGCTGATCCTCAGTTGATGGTTGGCATCCCTGTTCTTGAAGTGGAATGCATATCGGTTTTATCAGGATTAGCTCTAAGGTGGTTGGTCGCGTCGTATGGGATGAGTCCGGCCAGGGCATTACTGAGGGACTCCTCCAACTTCACAAATGACTTGTTGTTGTTGTTGTTGTTTGGTATTATCGGCGTTTCATTCTTTTTTAGAATATTTACGCCTTTCACTTTATTTCTTTCTTTTTTTCCTTCTATTTTTGGTACTATTTGTCAATTCATATTCATCTCTTTTTTTTTTTATAATATAATCTCAGATCTACTGGTCCATGAAAACCCCTCACCGCAATTGGCACCTTCCTGCCAGACCGGCGCGGTACATTGCGCAATCTTCTCGGCCATCATTGGCCTAGGCAACTCTGGTGCCGGTGAGAGGATTCTGGGGTAGATCTTTGGAGTCTCTTGTTTGGGGTTTACCGTCCTCAATCCGTCTTTACTCTTTCTTACCTTTTCTCTTCTAGTATTTTTCCATTTTGTAAAACTGGTTCTGTAAGACTGGTTCTGGGTGGCGATTATAGGTTTTCTCCATAGCGTTACATCATTCAAGACAAAATGATAAAGACAGTTATACGGAAACTGGAACATATAATTTATTCACATATCATGGACCATCTGGAAGAAAACGATGTGCTAGTGGATACACAACATGGTTTTAGAGCGAAGCGATCCACCGAAACTCAACTTATCTCAACGATCGATGATGTTGCTAGAATACTTGACCGGGGTAACTCGGTACACATGGCCATCTTGGACTTTGCTAAAGCGTTCGACAAGGTTCCACATGAACGACTACTGGAAAAGCTTCACTACTACGGGATTAGACACCATACACATCGGTGGCTTAGGAATTTCTTGACATTCCGAACCCAGAGAGTGACTTGTGAAGGTAGTATGTCATCAGTTCTATCCGGGGTGCCCCAGGGGACAGTGCTCGGGCCGTTACTGTTCCTGATGTATATCAATGACCTTCCAGACCTGCTGAAAAGCCAGACCAGACTATTCGCAGATGACTGTTTGGTATACAAGGAAGTAGAGAACGAGAGGCACACAGACTCCTTACAGGCGGATCTTACATCTCTGGAGTCGTGGCAAGATAGGTGGAACATGAAGTTCAACGCTTCCAAGTGTTCAGTGATGATCATCTCGAATAAGAAAAAACCTCTGACAAGGGATTATATCTTCTGTGGACAATACTTACAACAGACAAGCTCTCATCCTTATCTGGGAGTAGAAATAGACAGTAAACTGACGTGGGCGAACCATGTTGACAACACAGCCATGAAAGCCAACCGCACGTTAGGATTCCTCAGGAGAAACCTATGGTTTTGCCCAAGTAATGTGAAAGCCATCGCATACACGACCCTAGTGAGACCAGTGTTAGAATACGCAAGCTGTGCCTGGGACCCATACAGGATAGGGCAGATTAATAAACTGGATGCAGTTTAAAGGAGGGCAGCACGCTTCGTAACAGGAAACTACCAAAGGGACAGCAGTGTCACACAAATGCAGATCTGCCTTAAATGGGAATCACTTGAACGCAGGAGGGAAAAGAGTCGTTTGGTTATGTTGTACAAAATCTACAAGGAAAAGGTGGGCCTAAAGCAAGAGGACTACATACAAGTATCAACAGGGTCAAGGTTAAGAAGAAACCACCAACACTCAATAGAAATCCCCTTTGCCAGAAAGGACGTATACAAATACTCCTTTTTTCCAAGAACTGGACGAGCATTGAATGCCCTCGACCGGCCAGCAGTCTGTAATAGCTACATCAGTTGATAATTTCAGAAACACACTCTAGCATGCATCACCTGCCATACAAGTTAGCGACATGCGGAATACCGCCCTGCTGACTCCAATTTCAGAAGGTTCAGAAGGACATAAATGACAACAAAATACCTTATCAGTTTTGAACTAATTAATCAAACGACATGGATTTGTGTTTTTTGTTAATGAAAGTATCACATATATTAATTTTCACTCTTTGTGATACACGAAATAATCGTTTCTGTAAGATGGTGACTGACAAACGTAAGTGCTTGACCTAATAAGAGCACATTGTTCGACATTACAAGCAATGGACAAAAATGGAAAGAGATGAAATCTATCAATTATATTGCTTCCTTTCAATAGACGTGTTATAGCAAATTACTTAGATAGTGACATGGTATCATCAGTTTAGATTGTAAATGTTTGGCTTATTCATTATGTAAATAAAATATACACAGATTATTTACATATTTGATAAGTCACTCCTATTTACCTATATGAATATTTTCACAATAAAGTATTTGTCGTAACGATAATGACATGGATAACATGTCAGGTTTAATATCGCATCTAAATATACCTTACAGTTCCGGCTCCTCAGCACTTTGTGTCTTCCTTTTGTTTATTGTACGTGTTTAGTAAGTATCATATTGGCTACAAAATTAATCCCTTGTCACTTAACAATTTTTTACATAAAAAAGGGTAATTGTTAGCGAGTATCCTATTGGCTAACAAGGTGCGACGTGACACTGATGTTTAAAAAAAAGTCCACGATCATGCAATAAGGAAAACCTTAATACACCCTTTCATGGTTACAAGATTGAGCATGCGCCGACATGGGTGTCATTTTAAATTGGGATTAAACAATACACCAGTTTACGGTTACAACAGTGCGCATGCGCAGACATGGGCGCATTTTAACTATGGGTAAACAAACCATTGACATTTTAAGAAAAACCTTAATACACTCTTTCATGGTTACCAGATTGCGCATGCGCCGACATAGGTGCCATTTTGAATTGGTATTATATAATACACCAGTTTACGGTTACAACAGTGCGCATGCGCAGACATGGGCGCCGTTTTAATTATGGGTAAACAAACCATTGACATCTTAAGGAAAACCTTAATACACCCTTTCATGGTTACAAGATTGAGCATGCGCCGACATGGGTGTCATTTTAAATTGGGATTAAACAATACACCAGTTTACGGTTACAACAGTGCGCATGCGCAGACATGGGCGCCATTTTAACTATGGGTAAACAAACCACTGAACTCTAGAGGTCCGTTTACGCGTAAATTAAGACGGCGCCCATGTAAATATGATATGAGCGCTCAGCGCAGGCAGTGACAGTGGCAGATCCAGGGGGGGGGGTGGGGTGAGGGACGGGAGGCCTGGGTCCACTCCCTAGAAAAAACAACAGGTAAAAACACGCTAATTTGCCCTTTATTTGAAGACGGACCCCTTCCCCTAGTGCTCAAGAAGGGGGGGGGGACGTGTTTTTCGGGGGCAATAAAAAAAAATTGTTCCTTAATATAAAAAAGAGAATTATCTGCGCCTCTCTCTTCCCTGCGCGTACCCTGTTGTTTATGTGTGATGAGCGCGCATGGCCTGACTCCAAATGAGCAAGGCATGAGATCGCAAATACCCTCAATTTTATAAAGCAAATAGTGCATGCATTGCGTTGTTAAGTATATATTCACTAGCAAATTCATAATGTCCCTCGAGCCATTATATCTGAACCTCGGCCTGTGGCTTCGGTGAAATATAAGATCACGCGTGAAATTGTCGATTTACATATTTGTTTGTACTGAACGCCAGTGTATGCAATATTTCCATAACATGTGCACGAGCGTGCAATGTAACCACCTTTTTTGGACTGTATACCGCGTATTAAATTAGACTGTGCACCTCTCTACCTAGACCAGAATCTGCTCGGTCCTTTATAATTCTCTACACACTTGATTCAAGCCGTCGAAGATGGCGTTATCAACAAACTCATTATTATTTTTTTCACCGGGGGTTCTAATTTAATGATCACGCCATCATCGGCTGGTAGCAAGTAAGTAGGAAGAGTAAGCGTTGGTGTGGTGGAGAGCAAAATTAAATAGGCCATATTCTGGACTACTCTCTACCCTGCGCGTACCCATTGTTTGCATTGTTACAAGAGTACCCTGAATTGTATATAACATACATTGCACGCCTTTCGTTGTTCACTGAAACATATTTTCACCTCCGAATTCAAAATAACCCCGTAGGACAATACCCCCCTCCTGCCCCAAGGACAATCAAGGACGATCACCCCCGAGGACAATTACCCTCCGGGAATAAATCCCTACGACAATTAACCTCCGTGGACAAAACACCTCGAGGATAATAACCACCCGCAAAAAATCTGCCTTTTACGGAATCCGTATTGCGACGTACTTTTGTTCAAATGCCATTTACTCAATATTTTCAGTGTGAATACATGTATCTACCGTGCATTGTATCATTCGAAAGGGCATTTTATTGCAGTCATTTTGACACCTTTGTAAAATGCATGTAATGTACTTCAATCATGTATCACATTGTTTTGTAAGGCATAGTAAATTCATCATTATCTGCAATAAATTCGCGATATATAACGTCATGCATAATGCACTGATGATATAAATGATTTTGCTATTGTGACATTGGCCAAATGCTATCCCGATGCGGTATATATGGCTTTCCTAATCACGTGTAGCCCATCCGACCTCATTTCAAGTTCGTCTGATTGATGGATTAATGACGCTGAAGGAAGAGTAGAGGTCTTGTACAATGGATCCTGGAGAACTATCTGTGATACTTGGTGGGATCTGAAAGACGCAAGGGTGGTTTGCAGAATGCTGGGGTTTGACGGAGCTTTAGACGCAATTGGATCTGCTAGGTTTGGTCAGGGATCTGGTCGTATTTTCCTCGATAGGATCAACTGTGATGGAAATGAAGACAGCCTTGGAGACTGCGCTCATGGAAGGATTGAACATTTTTCATGCAGTCATACAAGTGATGCAGGGTCAATTTGCTACTCAGGAAGTATGTTTTGAAAAATGTTTGCAGTGGGTTGGGAGGGGATGGAAAAGGGTTACAAATATTCTGTTTCATAACCACCTTTTCATTTCCTACTTGTATTATCAATTTCCTCGACGTAAGCGAATCGAGCTAATTAATAAAGAGGGACTTACAGCACTATTGCCTCATATATTAGTTGATTGGGACTGTATTTTTAACTAAGCTTAGTTGGAGCCTGCATTTAAATTTGGTTAATAAATATTTTCTTCTTTTGATTCAATTTTAGGCTTCTTGCTTGGTATGTCAAGAGAGTGAATGTGAGGGCTCATGCAACGTTGCACATCAACCAGTGGCGTATCTAGGGAATACGGCACTCGTGGAAAACTAGGAACTGCCCCCCCCCCCCCACACACACACACACACACCGACCTCCCATACCCAGACTACATTTTGTCTACATAATATTACTAGCGATGGGGCAAAGCACCTCATAAAAGCAATTTTAATACATTTCAACCAGGAATTACAAAGGCATCCTAAAGTTTAGATTTCTTTTAAATGTTATACATGTAATATTTTGTTTTCGAGGCGCATTATTTAACATGATGCCTGATGCTTAAGTTATCTTGCGTATTTTAAGGTGCATATGATGCACATTTTTTTCGAGCCCTCTAGCTGGCATTTTTGTTCTTTCACTTCAAGTGCCGCCTTGAGAAATTGGGGAACGTAGGAATTAGGGTAACATTTTCTTTCTGTTTAAGTCTGCACCATTTAAAGAGCTATTATAGCATACATCATATACAGCTGTATGCAGGTGTAAAAATGCGATATCCTGAAGTTATGTTTAATATGCGAGGTGGTAAAGCGAATTAGCTTTTTGTATTTTTGTATTATTTCATTTCCTAAAACAAAAATTATAATGCAACCTACCCTGCGTATGATGTTGCCTTTTTTCTCGTCCTCTATTTTGCGTTTTTTGTGTCATCTTCAAGTGCCGCCCGGGTGAATTTCAGCTCCAGAGGAGCATTATCTCGGGAGGGGCATGTGTTCACTTCGATTGAATGCTTTTTGTCAGAGATGACAATACACATCAATTATACTTTTAACATTTAACTTGAGAATAAAATAAACTTAATAATGCCTTAGAACTGCTAGAAAATATCAACGCTTTGAATATTCAAGGCCAAGGCCAAGACAAGGAGAAAACAATGGGCTTAATGCGCATTCAGGCCAATGCACTACCATTCTGATTTATATAGGCATGGCTATGATTTGATGTGGTTTATTCACTTACAAAAAAGATCTTCGCAGTTATAAAAATAACAACTGTATTGTGCTTATTTTCTTATAAATGAGATCGAATTGTAAATAATATCAATTTTCGCAGTGTATTAATTTCCACGATAGTAGCTAAAGCTCTGTGTCCATATAATTCCCTCACACTAGTATTAACGAAATGTTTTGTTTTTATTTGTTAATATTTTTAGCCCATCCGAATCCATTTCAAGTTCGCCTGGTTGGTGGACCTAACGATGCTGCAGGGAGATTAGAGGTCAGGCACGATGTATCCTGGGGTACTGTCTGTGACGATTATTGGGATCTGAGAGACGCGAGGGTTGTTTGCAGAATGCTGGGGTTTGATGGAGCCTTGGACGCACCAAGATTTGCTAGGTTTGGTCAGGGCTCAGGGTATATTCTTCTGGATGATGTTTCGTGTTCGGGTACAGAAGAAAACCTAGCAGAATGTCCATATAGAGGGATTGGAGTTCATGACTGTGTACACAGCGAAGATGCAGGCGCCATTTGTTACTTAGGAAGTAAGTGATCTCTCCGTCTTAAGCGAGTGTGGACAGAAACTGTTGAATTGAAATTAAAAATATCGGGATTTTATCTGCAGTCAAATGACCTTTGATATTTGTCAAGCAAATTCCTTTTGTCGGGAAGTCAAATTGTCGGGTGAAATATCATAGTTGTTCTAATATATATGCATTAAATAATTATTTTATATAGGCCTGTAAGTTTTTAAGGTTAATATTGTATAAAGGAAAACATATTCGGCTTAACAAGAACTGATTTCTCTGTACTCAAGATCGATTTCTTTTGGAAGTACCGATTTCATAAATCTCGCTATCGCCAATAATTCTAAAATGCCCAAATGTAGCCTCTTGGACGTAATTTCGAGCCACTTCATGGACTTACATACTTTCGGTGTACGATGGTGAATGGGTGGTACACGTATCATGCATCCGCATTGTACGCAAGTACGTATCCGAAAGTTATTTCCTGGTTTCCTCAGTTTTTGTGACAGCAGCAACCAAAACCAAGAGAAAGATAATCCAGATCATATCGACTTGCAGATTGAATTAAACAATGTAAGGCCCATCTCGTAATTTCGAGAAAATGACAGGCTTAACCTTAGAATACCTCACCCAAATGTATGTATTATAAACACCCTTTATTGTAGTTCCTTTGTTAGTATTCTAGACGGGTTTTTGTACTGAACACAACCAAAAATAGTTTACGCTATCATTTATATGCCTCTACTTGCTCTTGCCCATCACACATCCATATATTTCATTTGTTGTATGTTTAACAGTATTTTTATGCGCTGTTCGAAATGATGTACTCTTGAAATCGCTTGAAAATCGTGATAATTATTACATTTAGAAAATAGAATACACACACACATCCCAGCGATTTTGTAATGGGGCATGAACATAACGTACGGTGTTTAAAAAAAATTATATATATATCTTGATTGTAAGCCCACACTTTGTTTTCTTCTGTGGTTACTGCACATTCTGCGAAATAATATTTTACGCCACAAACATTTCTCTTTACTTTTGTTCAGCCTTAAAACATTAATTGTGTTGATAATATAACTTGGGCTCCTTATACAATTTGAATTTGAATTTATTGATTCATCTGTCATACAACAGATATTCTTTTTCAATTGGTTGAACAATAAACAGCAGAATTATACATAACAAAAAAATGTAAAGAAGTATATAATGAAAAATATATATGATCACAAAACAGAAGAAAATACAAAATAAGTTTTCAGGAAACCAATGTGTGTCTTAAAATATTACAGGCAAAAGGGAAATTCCACTTATTATTAACGCATTTAGTCGCCCTGTCATTTGTGGAAAAATAATATTTTTGATTCAGATCACATCCCCTCAACAACATCGTCATACTGTAGAACTGTTGAATAGGTGTATAACACAGGGCACACAGGACAAACCAGAATCTCGCCTGCGTGTGCGTGGTACACATAAACCTAAGCCAAATCTGTTAAAAGTAAATCACTAATTCAAAGGGTGCGTCAGATCGTTCCTGACGACAAGGGTCCTTTTATTATCCGCTCCGTACATGAAGATTTTATTGGTGGGAGGAGCGGAGTCTCACCAATTACAAGTTGCGCATTTTTTCTTGATCATTCGAGCTTCCTTTTATCACCCTGTGACAGATTACCGCCCCCCCCCTCCCACTCCGGGGTCGGAATGACCGCATGCATATTACCAAAATGTCCGGTAAAGGGGTACTGTTCACGCACCAAAGTCCGGCTCGTACATACACAAAATTGACTTTACACACCGGACTTAGGGGGTGTTTTCAAGAGGAGGGAACACGCATATGCGTATCCTGAATAACATTGATTGGGGGGGGGGGCGGGATTAGCGTACACACAAACACTTCGGATAACAGATTTGTAGAATAGGGTCAACATTATCCATATGGGAATTTTTCATTTTCCTGATAAAGAACATCCTCTGATAAGCCTTTGAACACAATAAATCAGTAATTTTGTTCCATTTTAGTTGGTCATCAATGATGGCGCTTGAGTTGTATTTCGACTGAAGTCAAAAAGCATTTCCTTCGTTTTTATTGCATTTAACCTCAAATTGTGATCATCACATCATTCAACAAAACGATTTACCTCAGAAATTAACTCAATTGCTTCATCAGTTATTAAAGTAACCTGATATCATAGTATCATCAGCATATTTCAGTTTGTCGAGCAAAAAATCAATGACAACAGAGGAATAGCTTGTTTAATTTTCAGTTGCCGAAAAGTTTGTATTAGCCGTTAATATTGTTTAACTCAATGAAGCAAATATCAAGCAATTGTTGTCTTGTAGCCCATCCGAATCAATTTCAAGTTCGTCTTGCCAATGGATTAAATGATGCTGAAGGCAGAGTAGAGGTACTTTACGATGGATCATGGGGAGCTATCTGTGATTCATGGTGGGATCTGAGAGACGCGAGGGTGGTGTGCAGAATGCTGGGGTTTGATGGAGCCTTGGACGCACCGAGATCTGCACGGTTTGGTCAGGGCTCTGGCCGTATTCTACTGAAGTATGTCAATTGTGACGGAAATGAAGACAATCTAGTTGATTGTGCTCATGCAGAGATAGGACGTTACTCATGCAGTCATACAAGGGAAGCAGGAGCCATTTGCTACTCAGGAAGTATGTTTCCTCTACATTTTAACCCCCATCTACCCGACAATTAATTTTCTGAATGATTATTAGATGAGCACCAACGTCGGACCAGTTATTTATTAGTGACTTTAAGAATCTCCCTTTATATCTTAAATAATGAATTTCGAGGTAAAACCAATAGATTTTTGGTATCAAGAAGCCATCTCTTTCACAAAAATTAACATACTAGACAATTTGCTTGTACTTGGTCGTTTGTTTATGCGGGGTATTGTGGTAAAGGAATGTACATGATAATGTTCAAATAAGGTTGTCCCTAAAAAGTATTTTCATTTCGTCTTACCGATGATTTTGCAAGGGAAGCAACGGCATAATAACTTCCCTTATTCTACACATGGATATATGAAGCTGAAAATGCTTTTAGGATATCTAAACGTAATCAATGGGAAATTATTTGTAAGTGCTCTCATACTTTTGTTTATTGAACGTGAAATTTTTGGTGATATCTTCTCAAACAAGTATTTATCATGCTCTTCTCTAAAAGCATATCCAGAACCATTTCAAGTTCGTTTTGTCGGTGGGTCTAATTTTGTTTTAATGGTTAAGGGATATTGCTCTTCTACAGATATATCTGAACATGTGCATTGCTCGATTCATTGTACTCCATTTTTTTTAAAGAGGGGTACATGATTACATTTCCTTGTAAGCGTATGTATATTTTATCTGATAAACCTATTCTGTTTTCATCCCAATCATTAATTAAACACAACAGATCCATTTCATGTTCGTCTTACCAATGGAACCACCGCTTCAGAAGGCAGGGTGAAAGTCTTGTATATGGGAAGCTGGGGAACTATTTGTGATGATAACTGGGATCTAAGAGACGCAAGAGTAGTTTGTAAAATGCTTGGATTTGACGGAGCTTTAGCCGCACCTGGTAGTGCTAGGTTTGGTGCGGGCAGTGGGAAAATCTTGTTGGATGACGTTAGATGCAAGGGCACAGAAGACACCCTTGCTGAGTGCTACCATCAAGGGCTTGGAGTCAACAGCTGTGAACATGACAATGATGCTGGTGTCATTTGTTTTACAGGAGGTAGGGTACTAGGATTATATATATTCCTTCTCGAAAGCTTTGAAAATGTAATATTCGTACAACGGTTGTTAAGATTGTCAATCTCATGGTCTTACTCGTGTTGGTCTTGCTGTTTTCACGTGACCAATGGGGTGTTCTAATTGTTTACTTCCATTTGTCCTACTTCCTAATGCAAGGAACAAGGATAAGTCTTGTTCGACGTGGGACCATGTGGGACCCCTTGGCAAAAGGTTTACTTACATATAAATTAGGTGATTGAACGTTATTAAAGATGTACCGTTTTTTCTGTACACCCTTTAGTACCATACAATGATTTTATGATTCAATCCTTCAATTAATTCAAATGATTGTGAATAGTCGACACCACTCTACCTCACAAAAGTTTTGTTTTCTTCATTCGATTCTAAAAGGAGATGCTCTTCCATGTTCAAATAGAGGCTTTCTTAAAACTGTCGTGTCAGAAGATGCTCTAAATAATTAATAAAGGAATTTTGTATATATTCCTTCCTCATCGATATTTCTGATTTTTATGAAAATAGACACTCACATTACTTAAATCTAAAGATGAAACTTGTTTACTAGTGTGTATAGTAACCACAGAGGGCTTCCAACGCTATCACAAACAACATATTATGATGAGCTTTAAGTATTCATTATTTACTAGCTGCTATTGACTCCTTTACAGAGAGAAGTTCAAAATCAACCGATTGCATATATGCTATTGTTTTTTTTTGTTATTTCTCAAACCCCCACAGAACCATTTTTAGTTCAGCTCGTTAATGGATCTAACGACCTTGAAGGACGAGTGGAGGTGATGTATGATGGTTCTTGGGGAACCGTTTGTGATCATGAGTGGGATCTGAGAGACGCGAGGGTCGTATGTAAAATGCTGGGGTTTGATGGAGCCTTAGCTGCCCCAGGTTCTGCTACATTTGGCCAAGGTTCAGGAGATATACTACTTGATGATATATCCTGTGAAAGTACACACGATAGCCTGGCAGACTGTTACCATCGAGGGATTGGCGTCTCCGATTGCGAACACGAAGAGGATTCTGGAGCCATTTGTTTCAGAGGAGGTTGGTCTTACATATTCATATTTAAAAATGAGGATTTTTAGAGAACGTGAGAAAAATATATCCCTAATTTATCTGTTTGTAGTCCCATAGATTAACCCCTCCGCCCACGCACTTTTAACAAGATCACAAAGACTGTAAAACAGAATCCTTAAAGAATGATGTAATTACGTACTTTACACGGGGTATCCCTTAAGGTATTGACACTGGTATGGGGTTGATTTTCGGGAAGCTTTATTAATCACGTTTTGTCCACTTTCCACAATCAAATTGTGCACTCCTAATACTTATAAGTGCTATTTTATTTCATATTTGTTAAAACTTCACAGACGTATTCAAGGTTCGTCTCATCGGTGGAGCCAATAATTCAGAGGGTAGATTAGAGATTATGTACGAAGGGTCTTGGGGAACTGTCTGTGACAATGGTTGGAATCTGAACGATGCAACAGTTGTTTGCAGAATGTTGGGGTTTGATGGAGCTTTGGCAGCAACACTTTCTGCACAGTTTGGTCAGGGCCATGGCAAAATCCTGCTTGATGATGTCCAGTGTCAAGGAACAGAAAACAACATAGCAGATTGTTATCACAGAGGAATAACGGTCCATAACTGTAACCACGCCAGTGATTCGGGTGCCGTTTGTTTCTCAGGAGGTACGATCCATTCATACAGTACATAATGCATTTTCATGTTAACATGTTTTAGCTTTCTCGGCCAAAGTTGCAATAGAACGTTATACATCTTCCTGATCTATTCCGTTTAAAGCTTGCGACATCAAATTACTAAATAGTGCAGTCTGTAGTAGTTAAAGAAAATACATGTATATCTGTTTCTATTAGTTTGAATGACATTCTAGCTGTCGAAATATATGAATTATGGCTGGGTAACAATTGGATTGAATTTGAACATGTCTTGCAAGATTTATTACTAGGAAAAAAACATTTCAATTTGCTAAAAATACACCACATTACTTTTCTAGTACGTCTGATTGGAGGAGCTAATGTCGCTGAAGGCAGAGTAGAGATTCTACACGATGGCTCATGGGGAACTGTCTGCGACGATTCCTGGGATCTCAAGGACGCAGAGGTTGTGTGCAGAATGTTAGGCTTTGATGGAGCTTTGGACGCCCCACTTGGTGCTCGATTCGGTAAAGGATCTGGGAGCATCTTTCTCGATGAAGTTCAGTGCCAGGGGACAGAAATTGACGTTGAACGTTGCGATCATGACGGCATTGGTGTACACAACTGCGCTCACAACGAAGATGCCAGCGTAATTTGCATCCCGAATGGTGAACATTTCAATAATATAACAGTTCTGCTTCTCCTTGATGTTAGGTTTATTAATTTTACAATATGATTTCAATTGTTTTCGAAGTAAAATGTTCGAAAAAATGGCAGCACCGTTCATCTCTCCTCAATTGTCTTGATAAATTATCCCGAACACATGATTTGTTTTACCGGGTTTTATTCATGCCTCTTAATGTAGTCTCCGGAGTTATTAGATTATCTATTAGAAACTCTTAAAGATGTTTTTGAAATAAAGCCCAATCACATAATAATTTCATGAAACGAAGTTTCCAGGCTATATCGAAACACTGTTTATTGTGTCTAGGTATCATTTATCTAAACTTTATTAATGGTTTTATATAAAGCTCTTTAAATTCACAAAAATATCACCGAAAGATGTTTCACAATATTACAACATTTTAAATATGATTTCTTATCAGGCGGAACACCATTCCACAGCATCATCCTTACATATCTGACGTTGACCATGATTGGGCTTTGTGTATTTCTTTCTACGCTAGCATATTGTGTATGTAGGTATATAAAAACAAAGGCTGGTAGGAATTTGGACAGTGATATTTATATGGATACAGGGTTTACACCGGATACAAGTGTATCCTCTACTTATCAGGATCTGAATGCTCCTCCAAAACTCCCAGAACGACGTTTAACGAGATTGAGTAAAAATAAGCTACTTGAGGACGAAGGGGAGCTATCTGTTCCAAAGAACCCACAATGTGAAAGCACCCACGACGATATTGAAACGATATTTACAAGCACGACTGCCTTATTAGCCAAGGATGGAAGCACTGATGCTATGAGCCTTAGTGTTGAGAATAAAGACACAAATACGTTGCCACATGACATAGCGTCATCATCAAGAGCAATCTCCCATGATGAAACGTGTGAGCCGGCAGGTAATGTGCCTACTATTGGACAAAATAACTCACACGAGTATATGGATATGAACACTGTATACAAAAAACTTACGAAGGAAATAGATGTAGATGTTGACGGATATCTTCTTCCAAGTAAAACGAGTGAAAAAGCGGAACCCCCCAGTAGCGTTGAAAAGACATGCGCAGCTACACTAACTCGAGATATAATCAGAATATCCACAGCAACCTCCTTCCACTGTGAAAATGAAGAGCCGCTGGGTAATGCACAAAATGCTGAACGAATTGATACCCATGGATATACAAATATGACCAGTGTGGACGAAAAGCTTTTGAATGAAAAAGATGTAGCCTAATTTAAATTCCGAAGTTAAACCGGATGATAAAAATGCAGAATCGAGTTCTTTGTCTCGAAACGATAGAAAAATATTTCACACGAGCGTTTGTGAAAGAAGTAGCTCAAATGAACAGACTCCTACACTACTACAGGAATGTACGAAACAAGATTCAATTCACAAGCACATTGACTTAAAAAACCATTAGCCAACGATACTAAACGCTTGAATATGTAGACATAGATGGCTATTATCTGCAAAGAGCTGAAGGACATATCCAAGACGACAACGATCCTTCTGCATTACCAGGCGATATCGATGACATTAATAGGTTTAGAGGGATCATCAGAAAACAGCAATTATGATTTTATGTATTAGTAAGTGATTCAATAGATGATTTGGCCGTCATATTGCAGAGTTGAAAGCAAAATAATGTAACAAAAAGATTGTGCTCTCTCTTCTTGTGAAATTCATTTTGGGTAAAATAAGCATTTTGGAGAATATGATTCAGTTAGCATGTTTGATTTGTTAAAGATATCTTTAAAAGGAAACTTTCTTTAGGGCTTAAATTTTGAATCCTTCTTTAAGATTTGTTTTAATGAATCAAAAGAATGAAAGAAAGATGAAGTCATGCATGCGCGCACAGCCATAAGTAAATCTTGGACTAAAAATTACATCCATTAGACTTGAATTTTAGAGTTTTTTCAGAGAATTAGATTTTAAGTCTTATGATAATCTTTTTAATAATCCAAAGTCTTTTGTTCCCGGTTTAGCACGTTATAGTCAGTTAATAAACAAACAAAAATTAATAACTAGGATTGTTCTTTCCCGATGGTTTTAAAAGTTGTATTTGCTTTTAAGGTAATTATTAATTCAATATGGTAACTTACGATTTCAAAGTAAAATGTTTTCCTCTTTGATAAAACATTTGTTTTGTTTCATGAAACTAAACGCTATTAGCTCTCTATTTCTAGTCTAGTGTCTGTTACTAAAAAAAATTCTATCTAGGCAGATGAATAAGCTAAATGCCCAAAGATCTATTTGGTTTCATTTGTATAATCCCCCAAAATACCCCTCAAATTTCCCCTTCAATTCAGTGGTATCACGACTGTCATAAAACATAAGGTTTTGTTTTGTTGAAATGCCTCTTTATTTCCTGTTCTTACTTAAGTTACATTTTAAGTATTTTTAGTGACGGAATCCGTTCGAGAAGGTAGTTCAAAATAATTTGAAGTATATCGTGTTTTTTTACCTTGTTCATGTTACTTGAATTTAATTTTTAAAAAGCGTTCAAAGTGTTTCTTAAATGCTTAATGTTGTTACCTATTTCCAATGAAGGCTATTTGAGGCATAAATAAATAATATAAAAACATCCACTGCTTTTACTTTTATTTAGTAAATGTAGAACTTTGAAAATGGACAGATAATTGTTGGGATATCCCTAGAAAGGGTCGAACGAAACGACTGTCTGACTGTATGTCAGGAAAGAGGGCACATGCAGAGAGCAAGTGGTGAGAGAGGGAGAGAGAGAGAGAGAGAGAGTGAAAGAGAGAGAGAGAGGGTGAGTGAATGAAAGAGAGAGAGAGAGAGAGCGGCGCATTCAGATCGATGAAAGATGTAAAGACAGATAAAGGAAAGAAGTGGGTAGGAAAGAAAAGTGAGAGGGGCAGTCAAGAACAACTATAAACAGTGAGAGGGGGGGGGGGTAAAGATTAAGTGCACTGGTTAGGAGAAGGGGAGGGGTGGCGAGCTGGCACGTAGCCACGGGGGGCACGTGCCCCCAACAAAATTCCAAGATCGGTTGAACTTTTTTAGACCCTTTTTTTTTTTTTACCTCGATCGATTACATGTATGTGCCCCCCCCCCCAAAAAAAAAAAACAAAAACATCAAACTCTGGCTACGTGCCTGGTGATGAGAGCCAGAGAAGGAGAGCAAGAATAACTGCTGTTAAACCAATGCATTAATGTCATGATGAACGTTTAAGAGCTCATATACACGAATTTCTTCGGCGTCGGTAAGTAGTATTAACATACTATGTAATGACACCTGACAATAATATTTCTTTTGTAATTACTTACGGCAAAGATTTGCAACGGTCTATCAAAATATATTATTAGGTAATCTAGTAAATACTCACATCTGCTATTGGAGAACATTCCTATATCGTATAAATAACATCACTGGCTGTTTACATATCCATTTTGCTTTTTGTCACATCATACTATGCCCTTTTTTAATCTGTAGAGAGGGCCTCTGGATCTGTCAGTGGAGTATGCCACAGTCGATAAACAACGCAACATTTCTTTAAATCTTTGTTCATCATCTGCTCAGGTATTAATAGGCAATATCTTTTCTTTTGACATATCCTATACGTTAGAAACTCTCTATTAACAGGATACACCCACAATGGCCACACTTGAACGAACACCTTTAAACACACTTTTTTTTAAAGAGCCAGTTTTGTACTTGATTGGAGATCATTCATATAATGTATGAAATACATCACTAGTGATTTAAACACACATAATACCCCCTTACACACATACATACATGCAAATAATATATATAGATATATTTATATATTATATAGGTATATACACATATATTTATTTTTACTTATGTCAATACTTATCCATTCACTCACTCTTTCTGCAATCTATCTTTTTCTATCTCTATCAGAGAGAGGGAAATATGAACATATGATCCTGTTTATCACTGCATTAAATGAGGAAAAAAAACAGCAACAAAAATAAACAGACAAACTATTTATTGCAAAAAGAGATCACATGGAATCTGAATAGTATTATCATTTAGTTCTAACACCCATTCAATAACACACTCATCTTCTTCTTATTGCAACTTGGTCACCTTGATCTGTCTATGGACTATGCCACAGTCAATGAGCAAGTTACAGACGTCACTGCTGAACAGAATATGGTATTGAATGGTTGAAGCAGCGGATACAAAACCATTATAAGAATACGAATACGACACGTTTATTTCTATCAACATTTAATAAGACCCACATTTAAGAAAAAATATCACAATGTATCCTACAGTGGATACACGTACTGAGTGACGACCATTGAAACTGACTATGTACCTCCTGTTACCCTGCTCGAATAGGAAATACATCCTGTATGTGCCGCTGGGGTCATCGAGTTGCTTTTTTTGGTTAGATTATGGCAATTATCTTTATCAATATTGTGATACTAGTGTAGGCATTTACGAGAAAATCACGGCCTATATTAAGTTCGTACTTTATTTCCAAAAGTATGAAGGACTTTCACATTCATACTCGGCCATATCATTAACAATTATACCGGGCTATTTAGATGCAATTTATAAACTCCCAACACTATACGGTATCTTAGACAAAAAAAAAGGAGAAAAACATATTGTTTTTTATTGTGTACTTTTATAAACCAGCAGATGATGGGGCGTCACATACCATATTTTATTCATCCTGTAGACAGGGCCTCTGGATCCGTCAGTGGAGTATGTCGCAGTCAATAAACAACGCAACATTTCTTCAAATCTTTGTTCATCATCTGCTCAGGTATAAATTGGCAATATATTTCCTTTTGATAGAGCCTATACCATAGAAACTCTATATTTACAGGATACACTCACAATGCCCACACTTGCCCAAACAAATTCAAACAAACTTTTCAAAAGTCAGTTTCTTTGTTGTCCTTTAGCTTGAAATTTATTTTATTGAGCATTTGTTCATGTTTTGATTGAGAAATATGGAAATATAATTATTTTAATTGAATTGATCTACATTCCTTTGATGTCATTACCACAATAAGACTTCTTCACAAGACTTAGTGTAAGAGGTTTTATTTAGAAGAAACACAATATTTCCTGTATCTACGTCGTCCACGCTCTTTATTAAAATCTACACTTTTATTTACCGAAATAGAAATATGCACAAAGAAACATTATTGATTTAAGGGAGTGAAACTATATGGGAGGCCGAGAAGCGACTGCTTTACTACAGATATTGACTGGAAAGGTATGTAATATAGCATTCTTTGGACCGCCGAAGGGAGTTATATTTTACCAAGGGGTTCTAAGATTAATGATGCAGGTACCATGTCTATGAATACCAGTATTTATTATCTTAACCCTTTTATGTCATATCGAAACAGAAAGGAGATGTTGTACAACCAGAACAGTCACTAAGAAAGGAGATAGGGAGAAGAGGAAATGTACCACACGTGTACACTGCATCAGCAAAGGGACTGGTAACTATAGTATTTATAATCTCCTATGATGATTTAGAGTATAACAAGACCAGAAAATCAAGGAACTAAAATCCAATTAATCAAATAAGTTGTTAACACAAATCTATGTTTTAATGTAATAACAGTAAGTTATGTAATATCTTATATTCATCTGATATGTGTAAAAAAAATTATGACAGAAACAAGACATTACAACAAATCCCAGAATCACATGTTTCTAGTGTGATATTAATTGTAATTTGGAAAGACGCCTTTTAGAACGCACAGGAAGTTTGTTTCAAACTGTGAATTGCGTAATTTGAAGTTATATTTTATATAACGAGATTTTCCCTGCGTAAGATGTTAAATTGTTTTAAAGAGAAAATAATCCTGTATCATGTGAATATAATAGATTTTCTATTAAGAAGTTTTGTAATAGTTTGTCTGCAGTGTTTCTGCAGTTGCCATGATGTTCAGATGTTGTTGAAATGTCTAGTTTAATTAGTTTTGTTAAGTGCCAGGGGCATTCACGTGTGTTTGATACGTAATGAAAGTCTTCAGATACTCGAGATATAGTTTTATTTAGTTTTAATTATTCACATATTCTTTTACGAAACTGATCACGTTTCATATTTTCTTTGTTAATCTAATACTGAAGGCCGAGTATGCAGTTGTAGACACAACTAAAGAAGAGAGAAAGAAAGGTCAACCAAGAGCTCACCAAAGGAATATGGTAAGCTCTAGTCTAGAAAATCAGGGTTTTTTTTTGTCTACGTTAGATGGCAGTCCGAAACGTTTTCCTTCTTTTAACATGACTGTACTTATGTACGACATTGAATTTATTTTTATTTTAGTACGAGCGGTCATCTTGAATAAAATCTTGATTTAAGGATACCACTCGACATAATGCCATTGCATGAAAGAGAAACATATATAGATGAAAAGTATTTGTTTCTAAAAATAACTCACTCGCAGGCAACTTGAACACTTTACTTCGGTTTTTTTTCCCTCTCTGCACGGTAGGTCGTTTGGCACAAAAGCAATTTTGCACAAAATAATAGGCACTACTCCCATGACAGCAGGTTCGGCGTTGATAACACAATGATTTTGCAAATTACCAATTTTTGCTCTTGATAACCTCCATGACAACCTTTTTAACGCCGGTATAGAACAATCTTTTACTCTAAACGGTGAAAAAATTGAAAGATAAATACGAAGTGGTAAAGGAATATTTTATAAAGTATAACAGCATATCTGCAATTTTTTGGCCATGAGGGATCAGACCTCCCTGCATGGTCACTGACAGGTGGTTATCTCATCAAATTGACTCTCAATTAAGATAAGAAAAAGGGGACCACGGGGAACCATGAGGGACCAACGGTCACCACGTAGGCATTGTTTGCTATATAGAGGGCGCAAGTACCTATAAGTTGTGCAGTGGGGCTTTAACGGAGTTTCTTTCAGGTCAATCTCAATTTCGAGGATGGCTTTGGTCCTCCCCGTCAAAACGCCCCCCCCCCCGATGGTGTCTGAGCACCTAAATCCTTACTCGATGACAGGATACGAATAGGTGTCACCTTTAATAAACTGGATACTGGCTACTCTGTATCAAACTAAACATATTTGACACCTGAGCCTTTAAACGCACTTTGAAATTGAAAGATAAAGGAGTGAATATAAATTCGGAATGCAGCAATTGATTTAGTTGTAATTGTATATTTCTATTGTATTGTTTACAGGCTGACCATGACCCGGAAGAAGATTATGCTGTAATTGACAAGAGGAAAAAGAGCCGACGAGAGAAGTGATATGAGGAAAAGGAAAACATAACAGAAATTTATTTTCATTTATTGTTGATAATAACATCTAAATTTCTGATCATATGTGTATATTTAAAATTAACTTCTAAAGATTTCTTTAAGAGAAAATTATTTTTTGTTTTGTTTATTGTTTACATGTAAAACGACATACCAGTTCAACCAGTTGGCCTACAAGTAGGCTCAGGCGCGGGTCCACGGGGGGGGGGGGGGGGGACGGGCCCGGCCCCCTGGCCTTTTTATACAGTGCTCACTACCCCCCCCCCCTCCACCCCCCATGAGCGCACTATTTGTCGGCGCGATTTTCAAATTTTAGGCCCCCCTATCGGCAAATCCTGGATCCGCCACTGAGTAGGCTTATACATTTTCCCTTTCATATTTCACGTTTACGACTAAAATTGAAAGGGTGGAATAAAATCGTTCCTTTTACATATCGCTTTAGATTAAAAAATAAATAATTCAACACAAATTTTAATCTCTCTACATTAAGAGAAGAAAGACGGATGAAAAATAAATATTAATGCACATATTAAACATCTAAATCTGATCACTGCACTTACAGGTCACCAATGCGAAAATCGTATATTCTATATTTTAGTCATATTGTTGCTCGGGAATGTCATAAATTGAATAATACTATGCAGGGGATCACGTGATTTGATTAAGAGTCGAATGCGTGACGAAATAATATGTGACAGGAACCATCGAGTATCGCTGTAACAAAAAAATGAAATATGACTATCGGAGAAGATCTTGGTTATAAAGAGTGAAATTGAACAAGCAGGCGATGATAATAACAATTGATTTTATTGAACCCTCCTTCATACTAACCTGACTAGCTGGGTGGTGTAATCAATGTGTGGTATACATTTCAATCATAATCAACAGCGGTGCTATATCAATCCAATACTTTAAGTACTAAAATAGTGTAAATAAACATAATCTATTCAAAAATATTGTACAAAACATGTTTCAAAGTAGCATATATGATTAGAAATAATGATACGTATTTAGATCAAATTATACGAATATGTGCATTGATATCGAAATGTTTCGGTAATGAGTATATAATCTTGAATTTTTTTTCTCTTTTAAGACCATTTTGTGACTTCTGAGAGAGAGAGAGAGAAATAAAGCTACAGGGAGAGAGAGAGAGAGAGCAAAAAGAGAGCAATGAAGAGAATGAGAGATATATAAAGAGAAAGAGAGACATAAAGAGAGAGAGAGAGAGAGAGAGAGAAA